TACTACACCAATATCAACTTTACTTATATACACTGGGTAAACACATAGTGATATATCACATACCGTACTACACCAATATCAACTTTACTTATATACACTGAGTAAACACATAGTGATATGTCACATACCGTACTACACCAATATCAACTTTACTTATGTACACTGGGTAAACACATAGTGATATGTCACATACCGTACTACACCAATATCAACTTTACTTATATACACTGAGTAAACACATAGTGATATGTCACATGCCATATATTTATCATAATAGCATGCATATTTTTAAAAATATGAAAAAATGAATAAAATGCAGCTTTTACTTAAGGTAGCGAGACTATTATTTGTGTTGAAAATTACGATTTTCACATTTATTTATTAATTGATGAAATGCACCATAAACTTTCATATGATAAAGTCAATATAACATAGAATGTCATGTAAGTTGGTTAAAATGTAGATTTTCTGAAGGGAAGCAAGGCAGCCTCAGTAGTGTTTTCCAAAATCAACAACACAGGTTTAATCTGTGTGCCTATAAGTTTCAAAGATAAACTCAAGACAAAGCAATGTTAGGATGTGTTATCAGTAGCTATCTGACACACAATGAGTGTTTCCAAACATTTGAGTGGTTTGTCTCCGCCCCTGTTTGTTTCACAGATTAGTCATTTGCATATGAATGTGTCAGACACAAGGTTACACCATAGACCCTCTACTGGAGGGTCTATGGTTACACAGCCACTGAAAAAATCATTGATTTTGGTGTTTTCATATGCCGAATTTATCCAAATATAGCTATCCCATTCCTTTATTTTTTGGGTTTCCAATAGCCTTACACATTTGGATGTCCCTACACATGGTAAAACAGACCTTGATGGGAAAACAAATTGATTGTGCCGATAAACAAGCTTGAAAATCTTTGCTGTTACTTCATGGACGTTTTCTAGGAGTTTATGTTTTTCAAAATACAAGGTCTTTAACAAAAAATAACGTATACTTATTGTCGTCGGATTAACACCAAATTTTCACAGCTTTAAGGTGACAATGAGAGGAACTTGAATGTGTCCAGACAAACTATTTCATCGATTATTTACCAACGAGTTGTGGTTTGAGTTGGGGGCAATGCGACTAAAACAGTAATTGAAATTCAGGACACTATTTTTTAAAACGCGTTGCTTGAATAAAACTAACCAGACACATTCAATTTACCAGACTATTGAACAACTAGGAAAAGTGAAAAAAATACTTCTTATCGCCAGCATAAATGCGTAATTTTTTTTTTTACAGAAAAAGTAATTTTTCACCTTTGATTGACTAACGCGTCGTAGAATGCAGATACGGGCATGCAAAATACACTTGTGAAAAGCTTGAAGTCTGGCGATTCTAAAAATATATACTTTCCCGGGTCTATTTGTAGTCATTTAGTCACAATTAGAAGATGAAAACAAGTATGCAAATAATAGTCCCGCTACCTTAAAACAATTTGTGTGTGTGCAGTATTCTGGTCTGATTATGTCAATCCTGTAATGTTGTTTTACATTACACATGTACATATCTGAATTGACTGAGCTACATCTATTGTTCAAACTTGATACATGTACATACATTGAACATCATGGAACCACAATGTTATTCAGATCAGATTTAAAATTGCCAAAATTTTGTATTAATGAATACCTGACTTTACCTACATTATATGTCATGTTACATAGTCAAATCTGTGTATGGTGACTACTCAAAAAATCTTCAGTAAAACTGTCTTTTTAAACAGGTGGTCTTTATATGGAGGTTGGGGTATGTATGGTTACCTCAAAAACTTATCTGGGGGTGAGTTGTGTGGGTATGCAGAAGCCACAACACTGGTGTCTGCATGTTGATTTGTAGCATACTGTCTATAACTTAAGAAAACAAATTTGACAGATATATCCAATATTGATACTTTCCTGCAGCGTGTCAAGTTAGTATCATATATCTAATTTCCTTCACTATTTATAACTATCATTGCAGTTTTTCAAATACGAAGAAAAAGAGAAAGAAGCAAGCTGATGTCAAAAAGAAAATGTTGATTGATGACATGGGATTAAAAGAAGAGGAAGAATTAGCATTGCATTTACTGATGAAAGATTCATGATAAATGGAGTACTTTTTGGTTGGTAATTCTTAGCGATGTGAAGGATTCATGATAAATGGAGTACTTTTTGGTTGGAATTTCTTAGCGATGTGAAGTGAGAATTACACTTAGTACTTCTCTCTTAACTATGACAATTTGGAACTTTACATTCATGCATATTATTAATTGAGATTGACTGATCTCCAGTAAAAATCCACATTTTTGTATGAAATATTAATAAATATTAAATCATATTCTCAAAAATGTTGCAGTATCTTTTTATCGCGAGTCTAAACCACTAATATCATGGTTACCTTGAATTTGAGGTGAACACTTCTCATACCAATATTGGTGCCATTGTTAGAGGGTAATTTGTGTTGTCTCAGCACAGACCTTTGTAATATGACGCTTTACTAGCCAATTTTGGCTAAAATAGTGCTGTCGCGTTTATACACTACTTTTTGCAACTTAAGTTGTTTTCTAATCACATAATTCAATCTTTGGAACAGAAGGATCTAACATAATAAAATTTGAGTTTCGACTAGCTTGAAATAGAACGTCTCCAAATGCAAAAAAAAAAATCATGTGTAGAGCGCGCTCCACTCAAGGAACTATCTGTGTGAACTGATTGCACAATTTTTGGTCCAGGTCATTTCTACAATGTATCATTTAGTAAAGAAATAATTTATATCAGTTTTATATTTATACAAACTCTCCGCGTCAGATCGGTGTTGAGAGGACGCTGAGCTGCAGCGTAAACTGGTTATGATACTTTCCTGTTATTAAAAGGGAAAAAGTGTGGTTTCAGGATCTTGATGCATTTAATATTCTGATAGAATGAAGTCTTGACACGCATGCTTAGAACAATTAGGCTTAAAGCAGACACATGCATTTGTTTTATGATTCAAAATGGATCAAGCCATTTTAATCACATTTTGTTCAAACTTGTATACATGGTCATAATGGAGACCAATCAACTTCAGGCATGTCCATTTTGTATTAATAAATGCCGTTCCAGGGCTACATCTCGACATACCTCAAATCTATCATAAAAACAATTTACAAGAATGAGTAACATTGTAGACATTTTATTTTAAACCAAACCCAAATGAACCAACTATTTACAAGTAAATAATACATTGAGTACAGCATCAAAAATCAAACCCACAGTATAATGTATGGACTGCTTTAAGGCAAAATTTTATTGGACGTTATATTCATTTCTCAGCAAGTAATTTGACTATGTAACATGGGTAATCAAAATGTATGCATTGAGACACCCACACTACAGCCATGAGGTGTGTACATGAGTAACACTCATGGTAGTGGTAGATTAAATTAATAGGCATTAAATACTCAAATGTAGACAGCAAAAATTGATTTTGTCTTTTAATGCAATGTAGTTAAATGTCAAAACTCCTATCTTTCAGAGAGAAATGTGACGTTTACTTCATTAAAATTGGACCATTGTGTGTATGTGGAAATACCCCCAAAATAGTTACATGTTTTTTGTGTCCACCATGACAATACGACCTATTTTCTATTTCCACATAGGATCTCACAGTGAACACAAAATGGTCTATTGTTTTTTGTGGCCACCATGACAATACGACCTTTTTTCTATTTCCACATATGATCTCACAGTGAACACAAAATGGTCTATTGATACCATTCCATGAAATATATTAGTTTTGATTAAGATCAAATCCAAGAACTCTGGCAAGGTTGATAGATTGACTTTCTTAAAAGACTGGATTGACAACTTTTTGCGAAGTGGATTGAATCTGTTTTTTAAATTGAGTACCACATGAATCAAATCAAATAAGTTACTTCTACACTTGTTTCAGCATATGCATATATAGTTGTGAAATCAGTAATAGGCACCTCATGGAGGTCACATTAGAATACATCGTCTTAAAGTAAGTGGACAAGGGTTGTGGAATGATGAGTACACGAGTCAATGAGCTAAAACATTGTGTATGGATGAGCATTGTCTGAACAGAGGTTGCTCCAACACAAAATACAACCATTTGTTGAGTCAATTGAACACGATAAATTCATCAATCAGAAAACACCTGTTAGTTGAAAGTAGTAATTGGGGGCATATCATCTAAAACACTGATAAAATACATTGGTATGCAGAAAATTAAACATAATATACACTTAAGATTAGTAATTATATTTACATCATGTACATACCACAATCTTACAATATATTATCTTGTTTGTATACTGGTTGATATTCAGTGACAAACCATGGCCTAACATAAAATGCTAGTGTACCTACAACATTGCAATTCAAACTGAATATCTGACTGATAGGCCAAGCATGAAATTGACATGCATATCATACTGAATACATGATTTTTGCTTATTGTATGCTGATTAGTAGCATACCAGTGCAACAGGATAACCATCAACAGTTCGGAATTCCATCCTTTGTGGAAGCATTTATAAATAAAAAAAATTGTAAAAGATGCAGCTAACAGTTTTAATGACTTTGCATCCATGCCTTAATTGCAAGAGACTACACTCTTTTAGTCAAGGTGCTTACACTGCGTACAATTACATCGGTGGTGAAAGAAGGTCCTAGTTACATAATAACACAGAATTAGTTTTCTCAGCATTGTTTTATACAGCAAATGACAGACTAACTAAAGTTGGTTATTTATTCCTGACTGTGAGACATCTTGGTAACGAAAAACTGAACTGTAAAATGTGTACACACACAGCATTCAAAAGAACTGTAAATGTCTGTGTTTATATCCTAAGTTTTGAATGCACAGAATAAAGTAAATTGGCCACTTGTATTTCACCCAAACGTTTCACTGTAACATCAGTCTGCAGACAAAAAAAATGCATGGACCTGAGTTTAGCTTGGTCTGCACTGTACTGCATTCTCAGCATTTTCATCATCTGAGCCTTCTGATATTCCTATACGATATCCCATATTCATTAACATCACTTCTAAGGGATCTGCATTCATTCTTTTCTGATTGGCTGTGGCTGCTGAGTCTGCTTCCGCCACACTCCTGTCTTCAATGGGACCATCCTGTAGAGTTGATACACAACATGTGAGTATTGTAAGAACATATATTATGGGATGGAAAAGCCCTTAAAGCTGTAGAATTTGAATTATGAAGTAGAGCAGTATTTACAAGATATCTGGATAAGAAAGTGTTAGCAAAACAGTCAAATATTTAAAAGCATTTATGTAGGTTCAAAGACCAAATTTATATTTTCAGCAGCTTAGGTCATTAAAAAGTCCCATGCAGCCTACTTAATCAAAATTTTATAAGAAGCAAGTTGTCCCATTTTTTATTTCCTCAATTTATTCATCTGTAGTCATCATTGCCACTGCATCCAAGTGAACATGGAACCAGGGGTTTTTCTAAAAAAAAACTGCAAGAGTGAGCACTGCAATTCAGCGGCACCACCAAGTGGGGCGAGATAGAGTTCTCCCTACCAGGGTGTGGAGATTGATAATTTTAAGTTAAAATGGAGCATTCTATGGCTTCCTTAGGGCCAAAATTACTATCAGACATGTCACAGTTGAAGACTGTGGCCACATGTGATCCCTGGTCAATCAGAATTATTGTTGCCAGAGGATCTGCTCCCCAGAGTAAGGGGGCACATGTCCATGGCATGAAGGAGCTGCACCCCTGTTCGCTTGTTTAAAAAAATCCCTGATGGAAATCCTAGGTTTGGTTGTGTTTGGTTAGCATGTTCAAAAGTAGGATTCAAAATTTTAGTTATTCCAATTCATTTTACTACACATTTTAAAGACTTCAACTAAGTTTGATGAATAATACTGCTTTAAAGTGGGTGCCAAAGTGTAAATCAATATCTCCCCTTTGGAACATTGTTAGTGGTGTCTGCAATGACTTTGCTATCTCTTGAGGGAAATTTGCTTGTTCAACTTTCAAATTAAATTGTACTCTTATAATCAAATAATAATTTATTCATAGGATTTAAATTAATAAATTCAATTTGAAAATGGTTTCATTCAAACACTATTTTTGAATCTAAGTGGTTTTCACTACACTATAGTTACACCTTGTCACCAGTTGTAATCTTGTAATGTTTACATACAGATATCAACAAGACAACATAAAACAAGCCATGCATGGCACAGTCCCCTTTAGTTATCAAATTTAAGATATATAATTTTGTTTATAGTAATACGGTTTGAACATAAACATGTCAGATTTTGATCTAGAAGCTGATGCTTGATTATGATGATCTCAAACATTAACCAGACTTACTCATCAAATTTTTTTCTTATATTTTTTGATATTTCTGGAAATTTTGACTATTTTTGTCCAGTGTTCTCCCCAGATTTGCCCCAAATTTTGACAGATGTGGAACAGATGACAATGAACAATCAAGACTAACTCCCCTACTCAATATTATATTCAATGGCAGCTTAGAAAGAACTCGTGTGCTGAAGGTATTGGAGACCTGAAGTACAAATAAGGAATACTGCATTTACTAAAATTTAATGATAGGCAAGTTATGTGTGCAGCACCAATATATTGGTTAATTTATG